TATATATATATATATATATATATATATATATATATATATATATATATATATATATATATATATATTATAGATTATTTGTTCTCCGACAATTTATAAATAAAAAAAAAAAAATACTTTTTATTCTCCGAATGTAATTTTATTTTTCATAAAAATAAAATTGAAAACGAGGTTTGAAAATAAGTTATACATGTTTTAGATAACTAAATTTTCACTTTTTTATAAAAATAAATAAAGATAAATAAATAAAAAAAACAAACTTAGTCTAATTCAATCTAAATATTTTAGAGTTGGATTCAGTTCAATTCATTATTTTAACGGATTGGTTTAGATTAAAAAAATTTACTATTAATAAAAATAATATATATCAACCCAATTCATCTCTGTTTTTTTTTTTTTTTTTTGAAGTCAAAATATGTATATGTTGGGTAAGGTCAAAGATTCCATCCTTATTCTATAATTATTAAACTAAAAGAATATAGTTAAAAGTAAATATAATATTTAAAAGTGAATTTATATATAAAATCTCCCCTTTTATTATTCTTTTCTATGGATAACAAATATTAAAATATATAAAACATTATGGTTGGGAAGTTTGAAACTCCCAATGGAGAAAAGTACAATTTAGTGAATTTGTTATTTTTATCCTAAAAAAATTTAAGAATAAAAAAAATCTTTAACATGAAAAAAACATATATGTATGTAAGTATATATTATTTAATTAACAAGAAAAAATCTTTTTCTACTCGTATCTAGTTAAAAAGCTGCTTCCCGCAAATTAAATAAAAGAGAGAAGAAAAAATAAGCCATGAAAATTAAATTAGTAGAATAAGAATGAGATTCTCAAATTTAGAAATAATTTTACGTTTTATTCCCATTCCTAACTTTAGAAAACACAAAAAAATAAATAAATAAATTGGGTCCCACAATTTTTATTCTAATTCTTAAAAAGGAAATGCTCTATTAATAGTCAACTACTTTTTAAAAAGACTAATATAATATATATATATATATATATATATATATATATATATATATTTAAAAAAGAAAAAAAAAAGTAGTTGCTTCACAAAATACATGAAACTTAAGTGTTGGATAAAATGTTCATATAAACTTTTATATAATATGTGAATTATAAATTTTTCTAATGAACTAATTAATTCTATATTAGTTCCGTTTACGACAAGGGAAGCTGTCAGCTACTGAAAACCTAATGTAATAATTGAAAAAGTTAATAATATTTAAAATAACTGAAATAATATTAAATATATTATAATCAAAGTCAAATTTAAAATTTAAGGGAGCTTGAGAGTGGGGGCGTGAAGGAATATTTCTCCCAATTTTTGTGGATTCTTTGAAAATGAATTTTCTTTTTTAAAAAAAAAAATTTAAAAAAATTGAAAAACGGTGCCTTGGTGTTCAAACCTTATCCACAATTGGGTCCCACTCTACAGCATAGTCCAAAATCACACCACGTGGACGGAACGCACTTACGTGTGCAAAAAGTTTTCGACACGTTTCACATTTGTCCAAATCCAACCAAAATCTAATACGGGAAGCCGCAATCACTTACCATGAGGAACATTGCCAGGCGGGTCCCATGTTTTCCCCGCGTGCTGCCACGTGCCTCCCAATAAAACGACAAAGCTTAACCAAAATAGTGTCTCACTCTTCATCGTCTGGCCGCTATTTCACCAAGAAAATTATCCAAATAACTTTTTATTATTCTTTTAAAAAAAAAGAAATAAAATTACAAAATCCAGAGTTTGTAATTAACGGGACAGTCCCGAATGGACTGGAATGGCGGCTGACGTGGAAGCTTGGATTTGGGGGCGGGGGCAATTAAGTCAATTGAGTTTGCCGTCTGCAAAGGCTCTATAAGTTTGAAGGGGGCATACCACTGAGCTTCTTCCTCCACCGAATTGGAAACCGAACGTAGCTGTTAACCTTCTACAAAGAGAAACAACATAAACCCACTGAGATTTTGCCGCCGGAGATTTCCCTCACCTTCTCACTCACTCGCTGTAGCTCGACTTTTGCTCCGACTGAGTTTTTCAAGAATCGCTGCTCTTTTCCGCCGGCTAGATGGTTCAGCTGATGAATTCGGGCACGGAGAATATTCCGACGACGACGAAGAGGCTGAAGAAGGAGGTTGAGGATTCTTTTGACGACTCACACGATCAGTTTCACAAGCGTTCCAAATCCGAGTCCTCTTCCCAGGTATTGCTCTGATTTTCTCTCATCATCTGATTCAAATTGTTCTTAGAATAAGCGATTCTTTCTGGTTCTTTTGTGGCGGTAATACAAAACAGAGTACTTTGTGGATGATATTTGAACTTACAACAGGGTTTTGCTTTTCTGATTTTGTTTTTGAATATGCAGAAGTGGACATCAGAAGCCAATGCATTTTCCATATCGTCCACTCCCTACAATCCTCTAGATGAGCCAAGTCCATTGGGTTTGAGCCTAAAAAAGAGTCCGTCTTTGTTGGATTTGATCCAAGCAAAACTGTCACAGGAAACTGCTGAATTAGCGACTTTAAGCAAGAAGGAGCAGAAGGGAGCCAATGGTTTTAGTACTGCAGACAAGCTCAAGGCTTCTAACTTCCCTGCGTTAATTCTCAAGATTGGTACTTGGGAGGTACTTATCTTGTTTCCCCCCTTTGGCTACTTGCCTGTTTACAACTGAATTCTTAATTGTGGTTCTGGTTTTCTTGATTTGCAGTACAAGTCGAGATACGAAGGAGATCTAGTGGCGAAGTGTTACTTCGCCAAGCATAAGTTGGTTTGGGAACTTCTAGATGGGAATCTTAAGAACAAGATTGAAATCCAATGGTCAGATATCATCGACCTCAAGGCGACTTACGCCGACGATGGTCTCGGGACTTTGGATGTCGTAGTGAGTTACATTGTTTCCTTCATGAAGCTGTGGGATTTGCAGCCTGTACTTCATAGGTGTTTACCATTGTGTTCTTCATTCTGTTTTGCAGCTGGCGAGACAGCCCCTTTTCTTTAGGGAAATAAATCCACAGCCTAAGAAGCATACTTTGTGGCAAACAACAGCTGACTTTACTGGTGGAGAAGCAAGCAGACACAGGTGCCTGATTCATTTCTGTTGCTCTGCCTGACAATTTGGGTCTTTTTTAACATTGATTCTATTTCTGTATACTCCTGCAGAAAGCATTTCCTGCAGTGTTCACAGGGCTTGTTAAACAAGCATTTTGAGAAGCTCATACGTTGCGATCCTCGTCTCAACTTTTTAAGCCAACAGCCAGATATTGTGTTGGAATGTCCATATTTTAAGACCAATGGTTCAAATGAATCCGAAGAAGGAATTGATTTGAAGGAGGAGGAGGGAGCTACTTTCTTTAGTTTAGGTATGGTGTCATCATCTGGAGCTCGATCACCTTCCACCATTAAAGAACATGAGTGTCTTGCTGGTGCTTCTGAAGAATATTCTGAGCAATCTCGATCATCTAACTCAGGTAACGACATGAATATAATGAAAGCTGGTTCCACCAAAACATCCATGTTTTAATTCTGTCTTCAAGCTGCTGCCTTTTTCCCTTAGCTCTGCAAATAATTTGACTTGCTAACTATACATTTCAGGGCTGGAAGCTCGCATGACGACTGAAGAATTGAGAAACCATGGATCAGAAAGTTCAGGACTGTTCAACAAATGGGATCAAGTCATTGTTCCTGGAATCCGTCCATCAATGTCTGTCAGTGATTTTTTCAGTCATATTGAACACTGCCTATCACAGCAGATGACACGCACCGGCTACATGTTTTCTGAAGAAAATCAACAAAGCAGAGAGGGCACGGAGGGACTTACACGATATCTTTTTGGTGATTCTGAACATGCATCCGACTCTGGTGAACACAGACCATCATGTCCAGGCTGAATTCCCTATGTTGTCTTCTGCAGAAGGATATTCTTCAATGTCTAGAACTTCGTAAACCAAAACCTGGTCATAATAGCCTCAACATCGGTGCAGCAACACCAAACCCATTTGCAAGAAGGCTTCCCTGCACGCAATGGCTCGATTTTAAGGAACGATTAGGTGGGTGGGCTGCTGCCTAACCTTCCAAGAATAGCTGCTCTCCCTCAGTTTTTGTTCAACTTGTTCGATGATGGTTCTGAGACCGTGCGACAAAGCCTTTACTTTGGTTCAACTTGTTAATGGAGAACCTAGAAAAGCCGCCTCTAAATCACGTCTCTGCTGAAAAGAACAAAGGAGAAGAAAAGCATTACCCCTATCGTTCCATTACTGTGTAGTTAATAACAGGTGCCTCTTCACAAGTCAACTTGTGTAAACATAAACAGGGTGCTTATTATATATGTGCCTATATCAACCAACGGCAAAGCTTCTCTTTCTTGTCTCGACCTTGCAAACCTACGAGGCAGGTTGAGATATTTTTTGATACTAAATCCCGAAATCTTGTTCAAATCCCATACAACACCATCGTCACATAGAATATCTATTGAATTATTCTTTTTAAGTTCACAAGTTTGAGATGAGCAAACTTGACTCGTTCTTCTCTCTTAGGATGCCTAGAAATCACGAATAGATCCAAGAAAAACTATGCACTATCATCTAGCTTTCTATCACTAAATTTCCATGGGTTAGAAGATATAAGTAGACTTGAATTCACTCTTTTTTCTTTAGATTCCTTGAAATCATGTAATATTTTAAAAATCTTGGTTCAAACTAGAGATTGTTAATTGACATTATTGAATGTCGTTGAGGTTTGACATGCCCAAGTTTTATGCGGAAAACACAGGTGCAGAAGAACAAGTACCTGCCGTGGCCTTTCCCAATCAAGTGGACCATGCGCAAAACCACTCTCCAATAATGGCGCCATGAGCTGGAATGCATAGCATGTGATCAACAGTTCCATTTGGCCTGCAATGGCACATAAAAATTTTATTTTAAGTTTGTATTCACCTTATTGTATGTTAACTAAACATCTTATACAAGTAAAAGCATGCATCCACGTCAAGTAGATATTTTAACTGAACCGACTGAGAAGGAAGAGAGATAATATGTCTGGAGGCCAGTTATGGGTCTTTGAGAAGTATCTGTGCGAAGGAGAAGTACTCAGAGCATGTATATGAAAGCACATAAAGTAACAAATGTAATGATCATCATGATTCAGCCTCGAGAAAGTTAAGACATGACGAATGATAAAACAATCAACCATGACGAATGATGCTACTGATGATTAATCTTCTTCCCAATTTGAATTCCACTCGAAATATTCACAATATGGATTGAAAGAAAAGGGAAACGTAGTGTTCCCACAAATGGTTGGTGATAAAATACCAGCAGTAAGTGAGAGCAGATCTTGACTTATTTGTAGGACAAATTCTGGATTAAATCTTCTATTCAAACCATAATCTTCAAATCTTGCAATCCATGGAAGATGTGAAGTATAGCTTTTCAATCACTCGTTCACGTACGAAGCACCAATAGGAGCGCCTAGAACTATTTCTCCAAAAGCATTAATAATAGCACCTGCATAAGAAAAGGCCACATCGATCCGATTATGACATGTTCAGCGAGCAGAACCAAACAGCTATGTATCATTTGGATAAGAAAAACAAAAATGGCTGTAACAACTATTACAATCCTTCTGACACTTTTAAAAACTCTCACAGCACGACATTTGAAGTCTCATTTCATATCAAATTTGAGCCATACGCTATCTGAGAAGTAGTTAACGACTTAACACAAATTTGAGCCATTTCATATTTTTCTATAGGTTCTATTTTGCACAATGAGGACTCATTCTTTTGAGAGGGCTTCCTTATGAATGCTTGTTTCATTTATTATCAATCTAAACTAATAAAAATCAAAAGAAGGCAAGTGGAGTGAGCTTTTACATACTAACCAGCAGGGAGTCCAAGTATGCCTCGCGCCACAGCCTTCAAGTACTGCAAATTCGCACAGAACACAGTCCAAATTTTAATTCGTTATTTGGTTCCATAACACTCCACACCTTTTTTTCCCACGAACAAATAGAGTAAAGTGATACAAGCAAAGAGAGTCAACTATACCGAGAATTGCTTTCGGTCCGTACGATACCGGTTGTAAAGAAGAATCACAATCGGACAATCAACAGCCTGAACAAGGAGAAGAAGATAGATCCTTCAAAATGTAGAAAGCAGATTCGAAAACAGAAACCTGAGGAAGAGGAGGGATGAAGTTGAAGCGAGTTGAGAGAAGACGTACCCTAATCAAGAGAGAGTGCGAGAAGGATCGGAGATGCGATCGGTAGAGTAGATATAACGAGCAATCCAGAAGGCAGGCCGCAGATCAGGTGGACGAAGAACGGCTCTACAATTGTTACGGGAGTTGAGGCTTTATCTCCATTTCCATCTCCATCTCCATCTCCATCTCCATCTCCGTAACAGTATCTTCTCGTAGCTCATACGGCAATGCCCCGCCATAAGCTTTTAAAGAAATAAAAATATTTTATCTTTCCTTTTTTTTCTTAAAATATTTTAATAATAACTTAAATTTTAAAAGAATCTAAAAAAATTACCATATATTAATAGTAAAAATTAAAATTAAAAATAAAAATCTTAAAAAAAAAAAAAAAAAGTGGTACTTTTGAAACTTTTAAAAAAATTTGAGGGTATTAAAGAAATAATGATTTCTATTTTTTTTTTTTTTTTTTTTTTTTTTTTTTTTTTTTTTTTTTTTTTTTTTTT